CCATCCATCCATCCATCCATCCATCCATCCATCCATCCATCCATCCATCCATCCATCCATCCATTCCTCTTGTTCCAAAGTCGGGTCGTCGGGGCAGCAGCTGGAGGCCCAGACATCGCTTTCCACAGCCACCTCTTTTCCAGCTCTTCTGGGAAGACTCCAAGGTGTTCCCATGATCCCATGATCCCATCGACCATGGGATCCTCATTTCTAAGCTGGAGCAGTGGGTGGGCATCACAGGGTCAGCCCTCATATGGTTTAGGTCCTACCTCTCTGACAGAACCTTTTGTGTCAATATCAAAGATTTCAGTTCAGCATGTGCAGCACTTCAGTGGGGGCTACCGCAGGGGTCCATCCTCGGTCCCCTTCTCTTTTCTTTATACCTGCTGCCACTAGGTGCTATTTTCCGCAATCACAACATACTCTTTCATATTTACACCGATGACTGTGAAATTTACTTCCTCCTGAGGCACAGAGGCACATGCTCTATTCAACCTCTTCTTAACTTCCTGGCTGACATCCGGGACTGGATGTCTTTAGACTTCTTAAGTTTCAATGATAAGAAGTCTGAAGTCATGTTGTTCCATCCCAATGGCACGTTCATGAACCACTGCATTGACCTTTCCTCTCTAGCTTCGTTAGAGAAACAAAGAGTCACTAATCTGGGAGTGATAATGGACCCTTCCTTGAAACTTAACAGTCATGTACACATGATTGTTAAATCCTGTTTTTTTTTTTTTTCAGCTGAGGCAGCTGTTGAAGCTGAAGCTCATTCTGTCCAAAAAGAATCTTGAGACAGTGATACATGCGTTCATAACGTCCAGGCTTGATTACTGCAATGCGCTTCTGTTTGGAATCAGTCAGTCCTCCATTGCGCGAAATGCTGCAGCCCGATTTTTAACTGGTACTGGCCATAGAGAGCACATTACTCCAGTTTTGGCCTCCCTGCACTGGCTACCCATTCACCTTCAGATCCAGATCAAAATACTCACGTATGCTTTTAAATCACTGAACAGTTCTGCTCCATCCTATCTCACTGATCTTCTATGTCCCACCACAATCTCTGAGGTCAGCAGACCAGATGCTCCTTTTAGTTCCAGAAACCTGCTGTAAGCTCAGAGGTGACAGGGCTTTCTCTGTTGCAGGTCCAAGACTGTGGAATGAGTTGCCACGTGTATCAGGCAGGCTCCCACACTCACAGTCTTTAAGTCTAGCTTGAAAACCCACTTTTATTCCCTTGCCTTTGACATGGTGTGCTTTGTTTTGATCCCATCTGTATTCTACAGTGTTGTCCATTCAGTTATTATCTGCTGCTATTTGTATCAGATGCAGATGCTTCACCAAGCCGTCTGTCAATTTCACGCTCCATTCTTCCCTCACTCATGAACAAAACCCCGAGATACTTGTACTCCTCCACTTGAGGCAGAACCTCACTCTCGACCTGAAGAGAGCAATTTTTAACATCCCATTTGTCTACAATCTTTCCTTCAATTTTAAAGCAGTGGGACAGATGTCAAACTTCAGCTTGCAACTTGAGTCATATGTTTTTCTTCTGTCCAAGTTTGCATAAATTCTGGAGTGATTTATTTTCTGTACTTTCAGAGATTTTTAGAGCCCAGATCCAAAGTGACCCACTAATTGCCATGTCTGGAGTCCCAATGACCACGCAACCTATCTCCCCTGCAAATGAGATTTTATCTTTCTGTTGCCTTCTTGCTAAACTCTGTATCTTACTCCTGTGGAAATCTCCCACACCTCCAGCTGCAAAAGGCTCAACACTGTCAGGACATTTTTGAGGTGAAGAAGATTTTGCTAACAGTGAACGGTAGTTGGGCAAAATTTACTCTCAAGTGCACACCCTTTGTGGAGTACCTCAAATCTTTACCTTTTTAGTGTGTACAATAATGTAATGAACTATCATGTGACAAAGTTATAAAGATTGTAAACTATTCTTATTTCTTTTAGACCCCCCCCCCCCCCCCACACACACACACACATTTTAAATTTTATTTATTTACTGTACTAGTGTTTGTAATGGTGTTTTATATTGTGAACAACTTTGTATAATCTCTTGATAAATAATAATAAAAAAAACATCATCCACTGCCAAAAAGCAAAATATGGGCAAAATAATGTTTTATTGTTTTGTTTGCTTCCAGGTATGTGTGTCTGTTAGCAAAATATCTCATGGGCCTCTGAATAGATTTTAATGAAACGTTCAAAAAAAAATTACGAGAAGCAAGGAAGAAAAAAAACGTATTATTCTCTAAATTGTTTTTGCTGTAATGCTGTAACTTAACAGTTTTGGACTCATTCAGCTCTGGTCTCCAGTCAACTCTTGCTCAAACGATCCTTTGCTTTGAAATGCTTGAGACTCTTGTTGCCATCTTGTGGCTGCTCCCTGTCAACACAGAGCTAAATACAAATAGTAAAAATGTGTTTAACTACATTACAGTTATAAGATCCACAAAACCAACTTGAAGCTCCCACAGATCAAAAACATGCATGTTAGGCTGAGTGAATGGTTGTTTGCTTGCGGCCTGCAGGGTATCCACTCATACACTGACTGCTCAGATTTGACTCCAGCGACCCCCGTGCTTCAGAAAGGAAGAAAGAAGCGGGCACTAGATGGATGGATGTAATGCTGTTTTGCCAGAGACGCACTAATTACCAGCTTCAGGCTCTTGAGTTACCGTATTTTCCAGCGTATAAGTTGCAGTTTTTTTGCATAGATCTGCCAGTTCTGTGACTTATACACTGAAGCGACATATACTTTATTCCCCATGTTCATAACACAGTTTTTGACTGACACTTTAAATGTTCATTCATACTAACATGAACCGGAGTAAACATTACCATTTGCAGCCGCTAAAGGGCCCTCTAGGCTTTTGACCACTACCGGTCAGGCGTATATGTTGTTCCTGTACCACTACCCCCACCGCCCCCCACCAAACACTGACCATTAAAGTGCATTTATTAAGGACAAGTTAAACTGAGACACACCTTTGCTAAAATGTCGAGCAAACCAAAAATTGTTTTTAAGTGTTAATCTTGTTAAATTTCGAAGAACTGCAACAGCGAGTTCTCCCGCGGCCGCCAATTGATTTTTGGCACAAGACGGGCCCACGTTTCCCGAGGGTCAGCAGTGACGCATAATAAACGCGACTCGTTTATGTTTTTTTTTTTTCCTCTTCGTGATGCTTTTTTTGACTGATGCAACTTATACTCTGGAGCAACTTATATGCCAGAAAATACTCTAACTAGGAACTTAAGGCAGCTGAACAGAGTCTCCAGTGGAGTTTATTTAAGAACTACCTCTTTCATAAACAGGAGCTCTCCCGTTGATCTCCTTTAATATTATGTTTTGGTTCAGTTAAAATAAAACTTTTAAGTTATTCCATGCAGCGTCCCCATTTTCTGGTATGGTCTCCGAGCCAGGCCATAACAAGATAGTTATTTATTGTGGGTTTGACTACTATTAATAATGTTTTTGAAGGTTTTCTGTTGAGTCGTTTGATTCTAAATGCCTTATTTGTAAAATTGTGAATAAATTAGTTTTTCGGACCATCGGTGCATCAACTGATGCACGTTCACAACCTCAGCGCAAGAAACAAGCGGCAGACTTTTGTTATTGAAAAATATCCTTTATTGTTTTCTCATCGTCCGTCCGTTTCCCATAAAAGTGCATCAAAGTTGATCTCGCAGCATGCAAACCTCGCACAGTAAAACAACGACAGAAGTGAGAGAGAGAGAGAGAGAGACACAAGTCAGCCACGCCATACACTTAGTCAGGTACACTCGTCGTGGATCGCGCTGGGGTGAGCGCTGCCTGAGAGAGAGAGAAAGAGCGGGTTGTCCGTGGTTGGTTGGGAGGGGGGGGTCAAAGGTCAAGTGTATAAAAGTGTTTCAGAGAGTCTACGAGAAAGAGTTGAGTGGGAAGAGGAGAAGAAGAGAGTATGTCTTGGCTCAAGTTGTTCCTTTAGAGAAGTGAAGTCAGATGTTGGTCAGTTTGTCCGTTTAACCCTTGATCATGGCGGCAAACTCTGCGTGGAGAGAAAGAAAAGGAAGAAAATGTTAGTTCAACTTCATTAGACGGCTTTACACTCTACTTTTATCAACTGAGAAGGAGCTGAAACAAAGCCTGACAAGTCTTCCACTTTTCAAGCGTCACATCAGGAAGTGAATAAGTTGTAATGAAGACCAAGGCTCACATGTGCAAATGTTTTGAAAGTCACACAGTAAGAGCGGTGAATATTGCTCAACTCCTTTCATTTAAAGAGGTTTAACTTTTACAATATGTGGATGCTCGTCCGTACCATCAACTCCGATCTTGCCATCACCGTCGGAGTCACCGGCCTGCAGGAAGGTCTTTGTCTCAGCGTCGGTCAGAGCTCTGGCACCGGCGGAGAAGTTCTGCAGGAACAGTCTGGAGCAGACAAGCAGAAAACAATCTTAACGGACGCAGTCAACGTCTTTTGTCTGGACCAAAATCTTTCATATGGGTGCTTTAGTTGCTGAATATACTGTGCATGTTGTGGATCGTATCATCTAGAAGTCATCTGATTCTTTTCATTGATCCTGCTCATTCATGTTAGTGACCCTCTGAGTATTTCTGACAAACTGCTGCACTGAATAAGATCCAATAAAGCAGCCAGACCCTTTTCAGTCGTTCTCTCCTCTGCTGAACAACATGTGGAGCACCAGAGGAAGCTGGCCCAGATCCACAGCTCATTGGCTACTTTCATGCTGTGCTATCATCGTGGCTCAAATAAAGGATTCGATCTGAAAGTGGTCGCCTACTTCAGCTCCTCCTCCTCAATGAAGCCGCTCTTGTCCTGGTCAATGACGGCGAAGGCCTTCTTGACGTCATCGGCAGACTTGGCAGCCAGGCCGACCTTGGCGAAGAACTCCTTGTGCTTGAAAGAGTCGGCAGCTGCGAGAAGGAGGAGAAAAGAGGTCGTCAGACGATGAAGATGTGCCACGCACAAACTGAACTCCGTTTTCTAAACTTTTTAGGAACTGGGTTTTTTTTGTGTGTGTGTGTTAAGCCATGTTTTTAATTTTAAATTTAGCTTACAGAGGGGATTTTCTTACACACACACACATATAAGTGAGATAAACAGGTCTTTTTTTTTGACATTCTACAAGCTTTTTTCTCCATTCGTTATGATGATTTACGCACGTCATCTCTGATTTTATGTCTTGCGAAGCTCCAGCGACACATAAACAAAATAAAAGCGTGCGTCAGCAGTTTAGCTGTGGGGTTTACCTTGGCAAGCTGCGAGGGCTGCAGTGATGTCAGCTTCGCTCAGGATTCCAGCAAATGCCATTTTGAACTGAGGGAGAAGAGCAGAGGACAAAGTCATCAGCTGTGGCACAATCAGAGCAGGATGAAGCTTTAAGTCAACACCAGAGGCACAGAGCTACAAGTGAGAACATTTCAGCTCCTTTTTTTTGGTATTCCAAGGCACACATGAGCAGAAAAAGGTAATCCAAATTCCCCACAAAACAACAAAAACAAGCCTTCCAAGACAAAAAATATGTAAAAAAGTTCTTTTTAGTCCAAAACCCTTGATGCTCAGAGCTCTGTGTCCCTCTGCAGGAAGAAGGCCCTTCCTCAGACTTGCCTACAGGTCTGCAGCTCCTCAGTGCCACTCACCTTGAGGTTATCTCTAAGGCTAGAGAGGATTCGCTCAGATGAATCTGCTGGCTGCAGTGGACCCCCTCGCTCATTCCCACGAGCTTATATACGTTTCGCTCACCCCGAAATATGATGCATAGGCTGTGTAACGGATACTGTGTGCAAAGAAGCTGGTTGCAGAAAAATGTGTCCAGTAGACAGAGCTGTTCTATTTTTATGTGCATAAACGAAGATGCTTAAATGGTAGAGCAAGTGTGGACCCGTGGAAAAGCGCTTGATATTGCATAAGGCTAATAATATACGCTGCTGATTGGGGTGAAACCCACTCTGCAGGCAGCCTGTTGGACTGCGCAGGGACATTTTACTAACGGCACACAGACTGAGCAGGGTTAGGTCGTGCCTCTTAGTTTCTTTTTTTATCGTTTTTTGTGTGATTTTTAGTTTGCTGCGTGCTTTTGAACCACTGTGCCGTTAAGGCAGCTGAGTCAGTTTGTTCGTTTTCGATTGAGTACAAGTTTATTTTAATATAAATGTTTGAATATAGTTCGGTAAAGTCTGCAAGCCTCACATTCTCTCTTGTTTTGTCAGATAACCGGAACTGCTTTCTAACATCTGTAAGGAAAATTTCCTATTAAAGAACTCCGTTGGTGTTGATTTTTAATTTTAAGTGCCTTTTTTTTTTTTTTTTTTTAACTTTGCGCTCTTTTTATTGTTATATTTTGGTGAAACTGAATCAGTCTTTAGTTACTGTGTAAAGATTAAAATGTTAATAATGGTCTTTTATCTGAAAAATCTGGTTGGAACGACGGATTATTGCAAAAAGCTACATCCATAAAAACAATTATTTGGTGACATTTTACAATAAGGTACACACAATTTGATTAACTGCTAGGGAACGCCTCAGCACCGAACCAGGAGCTAATGGGTAATTAACCAGTATTTACTGGGGAACACACAGCCAAGCCTTATTAGGGGAGTACTGGTTTGTTACCACTGAGAAACAGAGGAGGAATTCTTCATGTTGGTTATGAATAAACCCTGCACCAGTGAGGTCACAGCTTGTAATTGTCAAGAACACGTTTCCCAGTGATTACTGGTTTTATTGGATTCTTACCACTGATTAACAATTTCATAATCATGTACTGCTGTCATCTTAACTATGTCTGAGCTGTGGCCTCACTGGTGCAGGGTTTATTCAGAACCCACATGGAGAATTTCTCCTCTGTTTCTGTGGTAACAAACCAGTAGTCCCCTAATAAAGCTTGGCTGTGTGTTCCCAGTAAGTACTGTTTAACTGCCCATAAGCTCCTAATTTGTTAATGATTTGTTCCTGAGGCAATCCCTAGTTAATCAAATTGTGTGTACCTCATTGTAAAGTGTTGCCTTTTCTTTAATGCGTTTGGATTTTTTAAACCAAATTTCCTCAAGAAACAAAATTCCTCTCGTCTGTTTGACTTGTGAACACAAATGACCAGACAATATAATTTACTCAACAAACTACAATATTACAGAGAAAATGAGCGGCATTTTTAGAAACTAGTAGTACTTGTATGTGACTCTCAGCTACTACCTCATCTGATTTTGGCTCAGTTTCTGAAACCAATAGATTTTTAGCCCTTTTTGTGTTTGATATGATCAGTTGGCTGTGGCGGCCATCTTGAATTGGGTTGACTCCAAACATCAATCCGTCGTAGACGTACATCTAAGGATTACTTTTTAAGAGATAATTAAAAATCTGTCGGGTGGTTTATGAGATATTTTGCTAACAGACAAATGAACCCAAACAGAGGTAAAATATGTCCCAACTTTTTGCATCTCTCTGCAGTGAAGCAACATAAATAAGACGTTAAAGTTGAATGTATCATGAATTGTTTCTTGTTTCAGGGTCTGTTCGTTTTGGCCTGCAGATCTTCTGCGTGTGTTGCAATAAAAACTTAAAGGCATAAATCTTTCAGCAACTCCTTTACGAACCAGGTTAGACCCACTCAACGTGCAGCATATGAACAGAACGGGTCCAGTCGACCAGAACATCCTCATCCTTTCCTCACAGCTCACCACTGTCTGCCAGCTCCTATTTTTGGACCTCCTATTCAGACTCTTCCTCCTTAAGGAGATGAAACTATTTGGGGTGCTATTTTTATCCACTCTGGAAGCTGATGCGGTCACTTTCATCATCATCATGTTTGACACTCTGCTACTGAGTGGGATTGTTGCATAACGAGCTCACACACTGCACCAAAACAATAAGCTGAAGGTGGAGGTCGCCCAGGGGGTAGTTCCTGGCCTTGTTCACTCTGAGACGTGTGTGTTGCACATCAGGTGGCAGTATTGAGACGCTTCTTTTAAAAGGAATTACTGTCAGCAAATTGTCAAACTATGATAAAAACACTTCGTTTTCTGACTTTAGTTACTCTACTATCCCTGCCCTTCTTCAGTTCTTGGATTACACAAACATCACCGCAGGAACAAGCACCTTTATTCTGACATAAACCCGCTGCCAAAAAGTGGAGACAAATTCTGATGCCGGTGTCTGCGTGTCTGTCTGTTAGCAAAATATCTCCTTCACCATTGGATGGATTTCAATGAATCTCTCAGAAATTAATCATTGGATGTGCAGCTACAAGTGATTAACTTTCAGAGTCAGCCTGTTTCAAGACGGCTGCCACAGCCAACTGACATTAAAAAATACCAAAATGGCTGTAATTCAGTTAATTTTAGAGATGCTGACATAAAATTCAGCGGGGTTGTAGCTGAGATTGATTTACAACTTGTAGTCAAAGTGCGCCATAACATGCTTTTTTTTTTTTTTTTACTTAAGGCATTAGTAGTTGATGTCAACGCTATGTGTCTGTTAGCAAAATATCTCAGGAACTACTTGATGGATTTTAGTAAAACTTTAAAGAAATAATCTTTGCGTGTACCTCTATAGTTAGTTACGTTTTGAAGCCAACCCATTTCAAGATGGCTGCGCAGAAAACTGACCATAGAAAATATAGAAATGACTTCAGCTTTGTCAGTTTTACAGATCTTGAGCTAGAATTAGGTGTGATAGCAAAAGAGAGACAATACTGACACATACTCTGCATTGTTTGACCAAAATAACTTCATGTCTTAACATAAGATGATTAATACTGTGCTGATTTACTATAAGTTAAACTATCTGGACTATCAGTATCAGTTATTTTCTGTGTATTTGAACCATGTTGAATTCTATTCTGTTCTATTCTGTCTTATTTAAAATTCTGGGATGAAAAGCAGACGGGTGATATGCATTCCTGTGAGGCTTTTACCTTTGGCTTGCATCCAAATCATTTTTTTTAAAATAAAACTTACATTTTTCAGTCAACAGGAGGCTTTTTTGAGAGAAAAAGAAAACTAGTTTTAATATTTCAGGAACAGATTAAAGCTTGAAGTTGCAACAGAAGGTTTTATTCGTAAATGTTTTGTCCAGTGCAGTTTATTTCATTTTTATTTTTTCATCAAGGTGCAAGACAAATGTCAGTGACAGACAGATCAATGTGGACTCCCTGATAGAAGTTCTGTAAAAGTGTCGGCTCAGAAACCTGACCTGGTCCCGGACCCTCTCTGGGTCACTGATGACCCCCCCAGCTCCTCCCTCACAGACAGACCATGAATGCAGAGGCTTTGCCAGACGTGCAGATTCCCTCCCCGTCTGCCTCAGATCCAGCTGGATCACTGTCTGCACACTCCTGTTCACACCAATAAATTTCTGCTGTCTGCAGCGTCAGGAGGGCGACAAATCAGGAACCGGCATTGATCCGATCCACCATAACTGCATACCACTTTCTGTATCCGAGGAGCTAATACCTCTGAAGATGGGATTCAAACACTTTAAGAAGAAAGATGTTAAAGCCTCCTTGTTTTGTGCTTTTGAATAAATGATTGGGTTAACGTTTATATATTTATCTGACATTTGATGATCAAAACTCCATTTTCACTTAACAGCGAACAGGCGCGGAAGCTAACACACACACAAAATGCCTCTTTTAAATATTTGGCACTGTTGCCATTACAGTAAATCCATTCTTCACTGTTTATCCATATTGCTGATTTCTTGTCTTTAAGCTGCTGTATTTATATCCATCTGCTCACAACAGACTCATGTTCAGGCTGCTGTTTAATATACCGTATTATCAGTGGCGGCTGGCCAATAGAGGGCGCTAGGGTGTCGCCCCAGCATTCACACCACTCACCACATTACCTTGAATAAGACATAAAAATAAAAATGAAATAATAAAATAAAAACATTTTGAAATATATGTATATATATTTTTAAAACATTTTATAATTAATGATGAGTAAAGTTGTTTCTTTCAAAAATGCTGATTGATGACACATTTCCACCCAGGGGCGCAAAAATATTTGCTCGTAGACTCTCGTTAAAAGTTGTACATGCACAGAAACTCTTTTTCATTACAAGTTATAGGACCATTCTGGGCGCTCCTCTCCTGCGCCCAGAGCTTATTGCAAGGTTTGTGCTTCCGGTCTGGTATTCTGGTATTGTTCTACTATTTCTGAACACATGCATTTGTATTGATCTGGTTAATGAAAAATAAGCCTTGTTAACACTACTAGTGTTAACATTAAAGCATTTCAATTGATGGTACATTAAGATGGTGAAATGCTATTGCTATATTGTGTGCTAAGATGCAATTTTAGGACCTTTAATATTAGGAATATTTAAGAGTACTCAAATAATGAACTTGATTCTATGTATATTATGAACTTATATTACTATAATAATTATAATAACACATGTACATGTATTTCTTATATTTATGATGTTTTTATACTGATAAAACCCAGGGTTATTGATTATTAAGTCTGTTTCACACAGGCCAGGTTCATGTTTCCATGTCTGTTGTTGAGCTGACCAGACTTGATGGAGAGCTAACTCTAGTGTCGAACCAGGAGATCGGTTGAATCCCCATAACTCTTTCCAGTGTAGTAGGAGGTGCATTTAGACTACAGCTACATTCTCATTCTCTCTCTCTCTCTCTCTCTCTCTCTCTCTCTCTCTCTCTCTCTCTATATATATATATATATATATATATAT